TCCCATCCATTATTTTTTATTCCTTCTCCCTTTGTTAACCTATTGCTGTCAAGAATGGCATGTACATAAGTGTCATGCCCACTGTTAGTTTAGTTTTTTGAATGTTTTTACACATATCTGGCTCCAAAAGTGAGTAAATTATTAATTCTACTTATCTCACCTGTTTATTCTTTTCTTTGATTAAAGAAATATATATTCCTATTTGTTTTGTTAAAAACATTATAATAATTATAATATCAATAAAAATAATAATAAAGATGATAACATTTTAAAGTTAATAGCATTAGAAAATATATGTTTTTCCTGGAAAACTCAAGGATGAGGGAAATCACTTTAGGTGTCATGGAACTACTAATTAAGTCCTTGTGGCTGAGTCATCTGTATAAACAAAATTCACAAAGCAAAACTTCAGTGGACATTTTATGTTCTCAGTGGCAATGGGAACTTTCTTTCTTTTTCTTTCTCTTTCTATTCACCCATACATCCTCATCATTACAATTTTCTTTCTTTGTTCACCCACTACTTTGAATTCTCTCTCTCACTATTCACTCATCCCTCCTAATTATTCCTCCACTTACCCCATTACTCCTAGCCATGCACTCTCCATTCTCACCCATTAATCTCCCCAGTTCATCTTGGTAGTGCTGATGCTCACCCTTCCCCCTGTCCCTTTCCCCCCCCACAGGTGACTGAGCACCCTGCCACGCTGAGACACATCCCCTCAGACCTCATGACGGAACTTCTCACTTCCCCCCACCTGTACGTGATGCAGACAGAATTCAGCGTGTACGTCATGCTCAAGGTAATGCTTTTGCTCTCAGTGTTGGTCATGTTTGGTCTGTTCATTTTATTCTGTTGCCCTTGAACGTTATTGTAGAATTTTTACAAAATGAGTAACATGAAAAAAAGATGCCCATATATAGAAATGCATTTTTATGTGCTGTTGTATATAAGTCATATCATTCACTATTGTTCTGTCACTTGTCATGAATGTCTTTTACTCACACATCACTACTCACTCTCATTCACAATTTCCTTACCATCCACCATCACACCCATCATTTCTCCCTCATAAGTGGAAGACTGACCCTTTTCTTGTTCTGTGTTTGCAGGCATGGGTGTTTTTGCGATTGAACCCAAGTTGGGATGGATCCCATGAGACGGCTTTTCTTGAAGCCCACAAGCACTTCAGGAATAGGGCAGGTAAGTCATTGATCAGGTTTTTTATCTGCCATTATTCTGGTACCTTTTTTCTTTTTTTGCCTTCTCTCTTGGTTGTGACTCTTACTTTCTTTCTTTCTTTTTTTCTTTTTTTTTTTTCTTTCTCTCTTCTTCTTCTTCTTCTTCTTCTTCTTCTTCTTCTTCTTCTTCCTTTTCCTGAAGCAAGTTGTTCATATTAAACAAAATGAAACTTATCCCAGTAATGACGGGAACTTTTTTTTGGTAAAGTCAGGTGAGAAATGTGCACTGTTTCACACCTAGGTGATTGTCCAGCTAATGGCAATCCACATGGATGATATTTTACCTATTGTCTACAATTATTCATCATAATGCTTTAACATCACCTATCACCATTGGACTATACCTGGCACCACTTCACTCTCTTTCTCCATTTTTCTTTCTCCCCCCCCCTCTCTCTCTCTCTCTCTCTCTCTCTCTCTCTCTCTCTCTCTCTCTCTCTCTCTCTCTCTCTCTCTCTCTCTCTCTCTCTCTCTCTCTCTCTCTCTCTCTCTCTCTCTCTCTCTCTCTCTTCCTCTCTCTCTCTCTCTCTCTTCCCTCTCTCTTCCTCTCTCTCTCTCTCTCTCTCTCTCTCTCTCTCTCTCTCTCTCTCTCTCTCTCTCTCTCTCTCTCTCTCTCTCTCTCTCTCTCTCTCTCTCTCTCTCACACCCACTCATCATCCACCCTTTCTCTTTATCTCTTTATTTACCCTCTGACCACATATACCCCCAACTCAAAACCCCAGAACGCGGCTGGTTCCTGGAAGAGGAAGGGCGTGAGTTCTCCCCCGTGTTTTCTGCCCTACGCCTCGTCTACCTGATCTACCACCATCTGGACGTGGAGATGCTCTACTCAGACCGCATCCTCCCCCCCTCGTGGCTGACCCCTGCCAGCATGCACCAGTGGTACAATATGTTGCGCATTGACCAGGGCAAGGACAGAGGGTGAGTGTTGCTGTGATCTTAGTGTTATTGTCCTCTCTTTTCCTCTTTTTGCTTAATTTCCTCACCATCTTACCATTTTACTCCTCTACTTTTTTTTTTTTTTTTTTTTTTTTGTGAATATTGTTACATACAGATGGCTCCACATATGCTCAGCCGACAAGGAGTTTATCAGTAGCCCTAGTGACCGATCCTGATTTCCCCATTCCTTGAATTGGCAGGAAATGTGTTTTTCCTATTAATACAGTTAACATCGATACTGTTATTATTGTTATTGATGATATGATTATTAAATTGTTATTAAAATCTCAATAACATATATAACAATGAAATAATGCAAAAGACCTTTTCCAAAAGTCGAGGAAGGTGAGATACGTAGGACTAATAACCGACTACTTGGTGACTAAGCACTTCTAGAGCCATCTATGTGTAATTACAATAAATAATGGCATGGCATGCTATACGGGGCAATTGGGTTAAATTTGCTGTTAGAGGGTAAAGCTGTTCAAAGAAACAAATATGATCCTTGTATTATAACCAGGAAAAATGTCATCATTTATGGTGCAAGCTGAAAAAAATAAGAGATTGCTTTTGAGGCTTCAAATAAAAACAGCCCTTTGAGTTTAAGGCTGATCTGAATGATGAAAAAACAGAAGCAAGAAGAATCATTCATCTAAAATTACCAAGGTTACTTGCTTCGTACATGTGAATTCTATATTTTTGATAATTTTTCTTTGATCTTATCTTGTGATTGAAAAAAGGAATAGCTGTACTTGAGAGTTTTAGATAGATTATGATTTCTCTTAGATAAATTATTTTTTTCATTAGGGGGACACAGTGTTTATGGATATATTATATACCTCTACCTTGTGATATAATTTTCATAGAGATTCAACCATAATTATTGGAGAGATTTCCTACCTATGTTTTTGTCAGATGCTCCCCATAAAGTTATGTTATTGGTTAAATACCATTCTTATTTTTATTCCTAATTTCACTTTTCTTCCTTCTACCCCCTTCTCTCTCTCTCTCTCTCTCTCTCTCTCTCTCTCTCTCTCTCTCTCTCTCTCTCTCTCTCTCTCTCTCTCTCTCTCTCTCTCTCTCTCTCTCTCTCTCTCTCTCTCGCTCTCTCTCTCTCTCTCTCTCTCTCTCTCTCTCTCTCTCTCTCTCTCTCTCTCTCTCTCTCTCTCTCTCTCTCTCATCTCTCTCTCTCTCTCAATCTCTCTCTCTCTCTCAATCTCTCTCTCTCTCTCAATCTCTCTCTCTCTCTCAATCTCTCTCTCTCTCTCAATCTCTCTCTCTCTCTCAATCTCTCTCTCTCTCTCTCTCTCTCTCTCTCTCTCTCTCTCTCTCTCTCTCTCTCTCTCAATCTCTCTCTCTCTCTCATCTCTCTCTCTCTCTCTCTCTCTCTCTCTCTCTCTCTCTTCCATTCTCTCTCTCTCTCCTTCTCTCTCTCTCTCCCTTCTCTCTCTCTCTCTCTCTCTCTCTCTCTCTCTCTCTTCTCTCTCTCTCTCTCTCTCTCTCCTTTCTCTCTCTCTCTCCCTTTCTCTCTCTCTCTCCCTTCTCTCTCTCTCTCCTTCTCTCTCTCTCTCCTCTCTCTCTCTCTCTCTCTCTCTCTCTCTCTCTCTCTCTCTCTCTCTCTCTCTCTCTCCCTCTCCCTCTCCCTCTCCCTCTCTCTCCCTCTCTCTCTCTCTCTCTGTCTCTCTCTGTCTCTCTCTCTCTCTCTCTCTCTCCCTCTCTCTCCTCTCTCTCTCTCTCTCTCTCTCTCTCTCTCTCTCTCTCTCTCTCTCTCTCTCTCTCTCTCTTTCTCTCTCTCTTTCTCTCTCTCTTTTGCTTTCTCTTTCATATCATATCTCACACACTCTCTCCATGACCAGGCCAAGTGAGATATCAGAGGAAGAGTTTGACCGATCTTGCACGCGTTGCGGCCGGGTGCTTGGGAATTCAGTACAGCACATCTGGCGATGGACAGGCTACAACTTTGGCCTAGACCTTGTCATGACCCATGACGGGGCCTCACTGCGCCTTAAGAGGAATCACCGCACTGAGAACATTGCTAGTATTGCCCAGCCTGCAAGGAGGAATATCATGTATAGGTATGTAGTAGTAGTAGTTTTGTTTGTTTGTGGACATGTATCTTGTGAATGACTCTTATCTTGTAAAGAAAAGGAAAGCAAATATATTCCTATATAATATATGTGTATATAACCTTGCAGAGTGACAGTAGCATCTCTTGATGACCAGAAACAAGTAGTTTACACAAAATCTACTGGAGTGCAGTCAGTCTCTCTTGCCAAAAATGAAGAGGTGAGTACTGTAGTCTTAATGTGTGTGAGATCACAGAATAATATTGCTATAATGCTTATGAGTGCTTGTCATTGTGATGATAGTAAAGAAATAATTACAAATATTATTCACAGAGTATGTATTTTTTCTCTTTTTTTCCAAGTTAATGTAAGACTTCATCAACACACTCAATCACTTCCCTCTCTCTCACTACCCTCATAACAGATCCGTGTAATGGTGCTAGATCCAGACGTCAAGTACCCGCTCCTCCTCAGTGCCAACTTTCTCATCACAACCAACCACTCCCTCATCACCAGCCACCCTGGAAGCTCATTAGGGACCTCTACCTCCCCCTCTGCCATCGCCTCTGCCTCTAATCTGTCCGCCCGAGCGCCCGGCCAGCCCTCGAGAGAATGACTGCCGCTCTTTGCCAGCCGGGACTTCTGTAGCACTGGCTGATCTCCCTGGGTGAATGATGTCCATGGATGATTGATTTCAGTCGATGGTTTCCATTGCTGACTTCGTTACTTGAATTTAGGTGGCTAATTGTTATTCCAATGTTAATTTTAGCAGATGTTAATATTCCATGGATGATTTAAACAGCTGATTGGTGTTGAATAGTTAATTTCAGTGACTGAGTTCAGTTGCTGATTCCTGTAGCTGTTTTCCCAACACTCCACTTCATCTCACATTTCATATTTCTCATTTCATTATGTCGTAACCCTGTTGTAAGAGGTTCTTCATGCCATTCAGATCTCGGAAAAAAAACATTTTTGTTTTTTATATGTGTGCTTGCCTCGCCACTCTCTCTCTCTTTTTTTTTCCTTCCTCTTTTTCTTCTTCTTCTTCTTCTTCTTTATGTTATGATATTTGTATTCAGGACTCATATACATTCCAAAAGATCTTGGAATCATGATTTTTTATGTCACTACAACGTTGTCTTTATCTTTGTCCTTTGTTATCAAATGAGAGGCAGGTGCATTATCTCAGAGTAATAGGACAATACAAAGCTTTAAAACAAATCTTTTGTAAATATTCTCTTGTTGATATCATAGTTTGTAAGCAGTATGGTGCAGCCTTGCTGATCTCTGTATGAGAGAATCAGCCTTTTTTCAACATTTGCGAAGAATGTCAAATTTAAATCAACTTTATTTATTATATTATTTTTTTATGAAGAGAAAATTACATGTATTAGCTTACTCCATCGTGTAATATTTGATTTGTACAGGTATCTTTTAAGATAGAAGATATTTTGACAACAATGTACTCTTTTTTCAGTGAAATAGAGAAAAGAGCATGAAGGAAAAAAATATATATTGGATATATCTTCTTTTTTTTTAGATGGGGTTCCAGAGACAAAACTCACGATATCTGTGCATAAAGCTGGGGTTGTGAATGTTTTTGTGCTTGAGCATTAGGGTGCAAACACAAGCTTTTTCCAGGTGTGCCTGAAGAGAATGTGAGTAGAGGAGAGAACTCAAAAAGATTTATTAGAGGCAGAAAGGGAATGCTGACCTCACTCATGAATGGCAAAATTCTTTCCTTTTTAGATGACATATTTTCTATCTTTCTTCCTTATATGGAATTGCTCATTAGGCTTGCTGCTACATGTAATGACTTACTAGTTACCCCCTAAATCACAGCTGCTGCAATAGTTTGTTTAAGAAAAGGAAACTTGTTTTTGAAAAAGATATAAAGAGTTTTTTTTTTACAAATTTCCATACTTGGTGATAAGCAACAGAATTTAAATGAATTTATTGATTTGCAGTATAAAGCCAACTATATAAGTTACAGTTCTTCTTAACTACACTTACTTCCCCTAATTTCTCTCCATTCCTCCTCCCTTCCTTTTCCTCTCCTCTTTGCTTTCTGCCAGGGTATTATTTATTGTGTTGGTGATATTTCCATTGCATTTATGGGATAGATGGAATGAATGGTGCCTGTTTGGTTGCAAGGAAGGCAAATTTTCTATGCTGTAAGTAGCAAGTTCTTGATTTCAGTCTCAAAAACAGATTGCAAAGGCAGGCCACAGGTCTTCTATAAAGATGCAAATGCATATCTAAGCTTCTCTAAAAAGTAGACTTAATTTCCCTAACAAGGCTTCATTATAAATTAACTACACATAGATACCAGGTTTGAGAGTTTCTCAGTGCTAATTAACAAGAACCTTAACGCAAAAATAACCGTTACTTATTACAGGCAAGGGTGTCCAAACAGTTCATTCAGATCATTCAATCATTAGGTTATTCTGTTGTTGACCATTTAGTCATGTAGCTGTTTTGGCCACTCAGTCAACTGGTTGTTCAGCTGTTTGTTCATTCCCTTAGGCAACTTAGAAAAGGGGGAAAAAAAAAGTTAAACGGCATTCAGCTGATTTCTCTTTCTTGGATTTGAGATGGAACCCTCCTATAGACAGGCTTTCTGGAGAGCTGTGATCCTTATGTTACTTTAGCAGAAGTATTACTTGAGTTTGAGACCAAAAGTGTATTTTTGTTAATTTCATGGCCTTCGAGGTATTTAATCTTTACCATGAACAGAGATAGAATTGTCTCTCTGCAAGGAAATCATTCTCAGGACTAGAAAAATGTTCAAATGATAGCAGGAAAAGGGCAAAAGGATCCAGCATTTGCCTGAGAGTCTAGTTGCACATAGTTTTAATTTTTTTTTAATAATATTAATATTCCAGACTTTCTCCCTCAACTATATCATAAACAGGAAATCTTTAGTTTGTTATTTTTCTAGTATCCGTTTTAGGTGCATGTCACAAACAAGAAAAAGTTTAAAAAAGAAAATGTTTAAAGTCATGTAGGCATGAACAGGAAGAATCTTTTTCCGTCGTTCAAACCACTCACTGCCATTAATATATTAATAGATTTATTACATTTGATAAGATGTTTGTATGCAATGAGTGAGTGCTTAGAGCCTGTGGGTTTGCATGTTCGTTTGCTTGTTTGTTTTGTGCATGTTTTGAACAAATCTTGTATAATTTCAGAAAATTGTGATATATTTAGGCCTCATTTTCTCTCTCTCTCTCTCATTCTCTCTCTCTCTCTCTCTCTCTCTCTCTCTCTCTCTCTCTCTCTCTCTCTCTCTCTCTCTCTCTCTCTCTCTCTCTCTCTCTCTCTCTCTCTTCTCTCTCTTTCTCTCTCTCTCTCTCTCTCTCTCTCTCTCTCTTTCTCTCTCTCTCTCTCTCTCTCTCTCTCTCTCTCTCTCTCTCTCTCTCTCTCTCTCTCTGTCTCTCTCTCTGTCTCTCTCTCTGTCTCTCTCTCTGTCTCTCTCTCTGTCTCTCTCTCTCTGTCTCTCTCTCTCTGTCTCTCTCTCTCTGTCTCTCTCTCTCTGTCTCTCTCTCTCTCTCTCTCTCTCTCTGTCTCTCTCTCTCTGTCTCTCTCTCTCTGTCTCTCTCTCTCTGTCTCTCTCTCTCTCTCTCTCTCTCTCTCTCTCTCTCTCTCTCTCTCTCTCTCTCTCTCTCTCTCTCTCTCTCTCTCTCTCTCTCTCTCTCTATCATTTTCTTTATTCTGTATTAAAAAAAAGTGCTTTTACTAATGCAGTTTGCGTTCTGTACTAAGTATGGACTGATATTGTCTGTGGACATGGGATAATCTTTTCATTGATCAAGATCCCTTTTGGTGATGCGATAATAATGTGCAGATATATTCAGCCTTTTGGATTTTGATTTACAATTGCCATTATTACCTCTTTTGGTAGTTTGTTTGTTTTTTGTTTTTTTGAATGTACATTTCTCGGAACTTGTATGAAGATGAATACTAATGTCTTGTTTGTTTAAGTACAGAAATGATATATTTTTTATTTAGTTTTATGAAAACTAATGCAGTGGATTATGTAACAGTGATGTGTGTGTTCAAGGTAATCTTTGGTGTTGAGGAATTCTTTCATATCAAGAAATGTTACAAGAATAGAGTATTATGAAGAGAATTTTTGTTGTAATTGAAAAAAAGAGAAATTTTATGAAATATGAAGGATATAATGTTCTTATATTGATTTTGTCTAGTCAAAAGAAAATTTGATAATAAAGCTGGTTAATAAATATGAGTTTTTCTTACCAGGTTTCTCAGTCTTGTTTGTTGTAAGTGATTTTTGTTACTAGTCATTTACTTACAGGAAAGAGACCCCCTAATCCCATGCCCATTATTTTCATAGGGGAGGGGGCTTAGGAGACGGTGACTGAGCCCCAGTGTTGGGGATTTCCCTTACCGGGGACTCAGCCCTTGGCTGAACCAATATGCCATGGACTTTTCTTTTCCCCCTTTCTTCTTCCTTCTCTTCTCCAACCATTTCTGTGTACTTCCTAAGATGTGAGAGCTGTAGTGAAAGAATAAAAGGCTGGCTTTGGGTCAGTCCTGAAGGGCCTCCGGGAGCCATGGCCAAGTTATTCCCGTTTAATTATCTAGCCTTTACCCCTCATGGGTACCCTGAGGAGCGAACTATTTCTCTTCTCCACATACTCAAGCCACTGGCTCTCATTTGATCACAACTTTGAACACTGCTACTAAATCACCCACCCAGGACATTACACAACCTTCATATCTTTCGCAACATCCTCTACTCCATCTCCCATCCTCCATAGATTTCTTCATGTTCAACTCTTTCTCCCTCATTAGTACTCTACATCTTTATTGTCCATTTCCTTGCTGTAAGACCTCACTTAAAACCACTCCCTTTTCCTTCCTCGTTCTTCAACTATTTCCACCAATACAAATCTTTTGAGTACTCTTTTTAACGCCTTGTCAGTTTCATTTCAGTCTCAAGCTTTTGCATTATCTGCCATAACTAACCTCACTGGCAACCTATCCCTGCCCAGCCTCATTCCTCCCTTAATATTTGTACCAGAACTGTTTCCTACTCCCCGGCCGATTGCCCTGTCTATGATAAGGATTGGTCAGACTGTGAAAACGACCTGCTTGCCTGCCTCGTTGATTATGATCATTACAATACTATACTATTCCCTCCAGAGTCCTACACCAATATTTTCTTTTTTTCTTACCTTCCGTAAACATACTTCCCCCATGGAGTTTATACTTGTGGAGTTCTGCTCAGTCCGACCATATCTACCTTCCCCGTCAATTTTAGAAATGTTAGCCTTTGTCCAACCTGCCAAGGACTGTCGTTCCACAGCCCTCTATATGCCCAACTGCCCTGCGCAATCACGCACGTGTGCCAATTGTGGTGGCCCCCATAATGTATTCTATAAGGGCTGCCCTACCTATAAGATCGAGTTTGAGGTAGTGAACCTCATATTCAGAACTGTGTCTCACTTTACGAGAGGCAAGACAGGAAGCACGCCGACGAAGTTTTTCTCTTGCTCCTTACTCCAGTGCTGTCCTCCGCTCTGCCCCCCTTCTCCTCAAGATGTTTCTACATCCTCAGTATCTCTTCCTCCTACTCCTTACGTCCCCACTTCTAGTCCCTCCCTCTCCAAATCAAATTATTTTGCTATTCTAAATCCAGACACCCCAATCTCAACCACCGGCGTCTACCTTCCTTCTCGCTCTATCCATCACAATGTAAAAGCTCCACCCCATCATCTATCACATCGTCTCCTACACCTTCCTCTCCCTCTGCTCCATACGTCTATTCCCTCTTCTCTCCCCCTCAAAAGAAGATCTCTATGTCCCAGACTTCCCCAACCCACTCACCGTCAGAAACTTTTGAGGATATTTAAGATTCTCTAATCATGACTAAAAAAATATGCATATGCCTCATCCACCCTCCCAATCTCCCATTCTCTCTACACTCAAAGAGAGAAAGAAAGAGAGAGAGAAATACACATATATGTGACGCCCTCATCTAATTTGTTTTTATTACTAACAAAGTAAAAAAAAAAAATGTTGAATGTTTACCCCTACATCCACGTACAAATTGTACAATATAACCTTTGTTACTCATACGCAATTTGGTTATATTTCGTCTAGTTCTTAGCCTTCAGTTTCTGCCAATGGCTCTGAGTATAACGAACATTCTTGATAAGATAACTTCAATATCAGAGCATAAAGGATATTTGAGACAGCTTTTATACTCAGGGTCTAAGAATTATATAAAAAAAGAGAGATCACAAGGACCAGAAGTTATTTAGGACTTTATTACTCTTATCTTGCTATCTTGCCATCTACATAAAGCAAACACCTTATGATACGGCACATTTGGTTTCTACTTCAGCGTTACTTTAAAAGAGATTTTTTTTTCTTTCTGCGCATTTTATTAAGCCAGTTCTTATGCATGGTGTACAATGCATAATATAAATATACATGTATGTATGTATATGGTAGAAAAACCTACAATGCACAAGTTGGCTTCAATTGTGTGTTGTGGGGTTTTCTACCATAGCATCAACACGGTAGTGTTTTATCAATATATGTATGTATGTATGTATGTATGTATGTATGTACATATATATGTGTGTGTGTGTGTGTGTGTATGTGTGTGTGTGTGTGTGTGTGTATGTGTGTGTGTGTGTGTGTGTGTGTGTGTATGTGTGTGTGTATAGATAAATAGATAGATAGACAGATAGATCGATATATATATATATATATATATATATATATATATATATATATATATATATATATATATACATATATATATATATATATATATATATATATATATATATATATATATATATATATATATATATATATATATATATGTAGAGAGAGAGCGAGAGACGCACACATATTATATATATATATATATATATATATATATATATATATATATATATATATATATATATATATATATATATATATATGTATGTATATATATATGCATATATGGATATATATATATATATATATATATATATATATATATATATATATATATATATATATATATCATTCATCCTCATTTGGGAGCTAACGCCGGCGGGGACTCATAGCCACATCCACCCTCTGCTTCCACCTACGAGGGTCCCTCATGGCGAGCCGCCAGGCAGGGGCCCGGCCCATCTCTAGCTCCTTACGACAGGTTTGATCGATCTACCCAAGCCACGACTTCCTCAGTCGTCCCACAGGCCTCCTCGACCCAAGAACAGAGACAACCTGGTGGGCATGGTCATCCTGCGGGAATCGAACCAAGTGGCTGTATAGCCTGAGTTGGTGATCGCCGATTGTGCAAGTAACAGGTCCTGTACCGGTCTCACGGTGCAACCATTGGTTGAACACATGGTCCCTCTAACTGTACCTCATGATCCGGCGCAAGGATCTGTTACAAAAGGCATCAAGACGAGGGTCCTAAGCATAAGATAGCATCCAGGTTTCACTACCATATAATAAAATTGGAAGTATCAGGGCTTTGAAGACACATAGCTTGGTCCTTCTGCACAGGTACCAGCATCTCCAAATACTATTGTTGAGAGATTTCATAATCCCTGCTGCCAGGCCAATCCGTCTACTGACTTCCTGGTCTGACAGCCCAGAGTCATGAACTGCATAGATACCGAGGTATATAAAGCTCTCTGTGACCTCGATGTTTTCACCGCAAGCACGTACCGACTGTACAGGGTCTCCTAGTAGGCCCCCTAAATCCTGGATCTTGGTCTTGGTCCAGGAGACCTCTAGCACTAGAGGCTTCGCTTCATTGCAATGTGCATCAAGAGCCGCCACTAGGGTTTCCAGAGATGCAGATAGAAAGGCAACATCATCAGCAAAGTCAAGGTTTGTAACCTTGATATAGCCCAGAGTTGCTCGACAGTGACTTTGGACAGTAGCTCTACCCAGTATCCAATCCATGCAAGTGTTGAAAAGTGTTGGTGCAAGAACATAGCCTGAACTAACAGGGAAGAAGCTCGACAGGCCCCACCACACTTTCAGTGCTATTAATCCAACAAACCTTGTTGAAATTCCTCTTAGTCTTAGGATCTCCCAGAGTGATTCGTGATGCACTGTATCAAACGCCATCTTGAGGTTGATGTAAGTTGCGAGCTTTCGAACTCACGACGGCGCTCTACAATGACTCAAAGCACTAGGATATGGTCTATTGTGGACTTACCAGGAGTGAATCCAGATTGCTCCAGCCTCTGGTGCCTCAGCAGGT